CTGTTTTTGGGATTTAATAAGATTTCACCTTTGTTTCATAAGTTTTTAAATATCCTGAAAATCTGGGGTGTTAAAGAGAAGATGTCGATTTTACGAAGTACAAGATACACAATCTTAATACCTCTTGTCCTCTATATCGTCCATCCTGTTACTGCTGTTGAAGACACCTAGTCACAGTATGAAGTCTGGCTTGCACGATCAGTCCTCATAGATGATAGTTGGGTCGGTAGAGTAGTGTAGTGAATACCTTGTGTGTATTGAACTCTCTCTTGTACTCTTTTGATCATCTAGTGGATTGGGCTGACGTGAGTAGCCCCGCAGACGTAGGAGTGAGGCTCCGAACTGCGTAAGCACATCATAGTGTCTGGTTCCATTTATTATTCATTTTATTGTCTGTTTTATCCTTTGTCTTAGAATCTGTTGCTAACCCAGATTAATCTACGAATATTAAAATTTAGTAGGAACCTTAGTATTAAATCTTGCATTGAAGATCCACACGCTTTGTCAATTGGTATCGAAGTAAGGAGACTTAAGTTATTAGTCTACTCGATCTGGCTTCGGTGTGGTTCTTGAACTCGAGATCTTTTTATCGGGCTTTATTTTTCTGGTTTACTTGTTCGTACTTATTGTGTATTGAGTCTTGCAGAATGGACCGACATAGAGCACCTCCTGAGCTTACAGGTGACAACTATGCATACTGGAAGGCCCGCACCAAAATGCACATTCTCGCACAAGGGAGGAGGATATGGAGGGCAGTCCTTACTGGGTGAACTCCACCTACTAAAGCTGGAGCCACTGCAGAAGCTCCCCAAGTCCTCAAACCAGAAACAGAATGGTCAGATGAGGAGATGAATCTCGCTGGATATAACAATAAAGCCTTAGATACTATTTATTTTTTAATGCATGAGAGTCAGTTTATTATCATTGCAGGGTGTAACTTAGCCAAAGATGCTTGGGAAACTTTGGAAACCACATATGAAGGGACAAAATCTGTCAAGCAAAGCAAACTTCAAATGGTCCAAATTGACTTCGAGGAGTTAAAAATGAAAGAAGATGAAACGATTGTTGAGTTTCATTTGCGTATACAAGAGCTGGCCAACCGAGCAATTGTGTGACACCCCGTAATCAAAAATCGATTAAGGCATTAATTAGGCAATTTATCCTAATTCAATTGGTATCTTAATTCCTAGAAATCCTGAAAATTCAATAGTCGGGGACTAGTAATTGACTAGTCAACCCCAAAGTCAAGGTTGTACCTTAAGCTTTGTGAGGAGTTCCCTTGTCTCCTTACACATCTTCATTTTAGTAAGGGTATTCATGACTTTTCACCTTGAGTTAGTATTGCAAGCTAACCTAGTAGACACTCTTCATTTCTATCCTTACACTTTCCAAACTTTAGCTCTACCTTCTCTCTAAAAAGGTAGATAGCTTTCTTCCAAGCCAAGTTGAAGCTTTGTCAAATCTTCAAGAGTTGTCTCCAAGATTCTACCTTTCATACATTTGGGCATCTAGGAGGGTAAGATCTATGTTCATCTTGTGTTTTTAGTGTTTTCTAAGGTGTCTTTTCTTAAAGATAGAATCTTTATGATCTTTTGGTGTGTTCTTGAAGTGGGTTTGGAAGGTGAGCCTTATTAGGAGCTTGGTGAAGTGTTAAGTGAAGGTTTTTGTCTACAAGAGGTAACCCATGCTCTACAAAATCTATTTTGCTTACCTATATGATGATTTCTTGGATTCTACATGTATTTTGCTATGAAATGTGAGTGTTTATGCATTGTCTTGTGAAAATGCATATCTAGAGCTTGTTTAGGGTTCTTGTATGCCATTGCTTAGCTATTCCTTTGAATCAAGTCATCTTGTTGTATTTGGTGAGATTTGGCATGTTTTGGACTTGAATTTGAGCTTGGTGTTGAAAATCCCCGAAGGGATTATTTTGGTACAGGTACGTACCCGCGGGCGGAACGGCGGGTAGGCGTCCACACGCCGCCCTACGCGCGGGGTACATGGCCGGTGGGTGTGGTACCCGTGGGCGGGAACACGGGTGGGGGTCTACCCGTGGGTCCACCAGTGGGGAACAATGTTGGCTTGTTTGGGGATTTGTTCCCCGTGATTCTCTTGACTCGGTATTTGGTCTTTTGACTTCCCGATGTTCTTTTGTGGAACTATTTGAGCGTCTTCTTGATGTTTCGTATGTCTAGAACTACATGGTAGGAATCCATGTAGGTTTTGGTGTCTTGAATCGTGCTAAGTGTTTAACATTGTGACTCGTTGAACCGTGATGAGTCTTGTGTGTTCTTCGGAACTACGTTTGGTTTACCCGTTTGATAAGCATGCAGGTTCGGTGTTTAAATACTAGCATGTGTGTTGTTTGTACTTTCCTATTGTTGATGATGACTTTTGTTATTCATCGTTGTTGTTGGACTGTGATCCATTCCTTGATTGAGTATGGTTTCATATCTTCGTTGTGATCCGTTGATTGATTCCTATTGAGGTGTGGTGTGTGTGGCTTTACCTGGATTGCACGATTAGTGGTATGGGACACTAGTCACCAAGGTATTGCAGTGGTCCTCGTGGTGGCCATGACGTGATTATGGAGTTTGTGACCTTGGTGTAAGGTTCACGTGTTTATTTCTGGGATAACATGTGTTATCCAGGGCATGTGTTGCCATGTGTGATCGGTACCCTCGTGTACTATGAAATCGGTGGTTCTGTTGGAGGGACTGTTGGAGGGGGAACGACGGTTCCCGGGGGAATAAGGTTGGACTTGGTGTACAGGGGTCTTGGAGGTAAAGGTTGGAACTAGATATAAGGTTGGAGGTAGCCATAAGGTTGGAACCGGGCATAAGGAAGGCATATCAATTCGTGATGGGTGATGTCACGAAGGCTTGTGTAGCCGTTGTTGTGAGTTCTCTTCTTGTGACTTGTGTAGTCACAAAGGTATGTGTTGCCTAGGCATGTGTTGCCATTAGTCGTGTCCTTATTCCTTTGAGTTGTGCATATCGGGTGTTAATTTATTTTGTGATGATAGATTATACCTTGAGCCGTCCTTGTGTGTTGTTGATTGTTCTTCGTAGTCTTGGGATGTGTTCCCTTATCTTGTTGTGAGTGCTTTGAGTCTTGTGTTGACCTTTGCTCTTGGTTTTGAACTTATATATATGTATTCCATTTCGCAAATGACTTTACAAATGTATATCTTATCTATGTATGATATTTCACATGTATTGGTGCGTTACCAGCATTATTCGCTGACCGAGCGTCGTCCCATCTTTTATGTGTTTCTTTCAGGTGATGTTTAGACGAGAGCGCGGTTTAGTGCCAGCTAGTGTAGCTCCTTTCTTGTGTTTTGTGGCCTGTGAGCCAAGTATAGACTTAGTACTTTGAACATGTACGGTTTTAGATGTTGAACTATGGAGATGGTAGCCTGTGCGTTCACCTCTAGGTGAGCGTGGCATAGCACCCCTTTTACTTCCAGTTTATATAAACCTCTTTCAGTCTTCCGCTGTGTTTGATGTTCTGTTAGATATCTGCATGTTTAAGGCTTAAAATAGCATGGAAATTAGGGGGTGTTACAATTGGTATCAAAGCCTAGGTTTGAGCCTAGGAGGGTAAAGTCTAGACTTCTAAGTGGCTAAGTGTGGTTTGAGACCTTAAAGTGACTTTAAGAATCTATGTGTTAGGCTTAGGACTCTAGGTTGCCCGGTGAGCTGAGTGTTGCTTTCAGTTGTTTGCTTGTTTGTTGTCTTTTTGGTTACCGTGTTGCTGTTGTAGAAGTTGCGATGCCTCCCTGTCGGCGTACCGCGATGTTTGAAGACACGTGTGAAGTGGTTAAGAAATCTAGGACGACCGAATCTAGTAACGCTTCTGGTGTGATTGAACAGTGGATCCGGAGTGGCACGTCCACTCGAGTAAGCCCTAGCGTAGCTATCTTGCCGACATCTCGAGATTTAAGAAGAAGTGGGGGAATAGAGATCCAACATCCAACGGAAGGACCACCTCGAGGGAAAACCCTCATCTTAAGTGAAGCTCGAGTGGGCGACATTGATGTGGTAATTGGGACCTTTCTCGTGCAATCCGTTCTAGCAACGATCCTGTTTGATTCTGGGGCATCTAACTCGTTCGTATCTCCCGAGCTCGTGAAGAAGTTGGGCTTAACCGATGGCACCAGAGTGAAGCTTAATGTTAAGGTAGCATTCGGGGAAGTTAGAACCTGCGACCGACTCTTCAAAGGCGTCAAGATAAACATCAGTGGAGAGGAGTTTCCCAGCGACTTAATCCAGTGCGATTTGGATGGGATAGATGTGGTCCTAGGCATGGACTGGTTGGGGCGGTTTAGAGCTCAATTCCTGTGTAACGAGCAGAAAGTGGTGTTGCGAGGACCTAGCGGGAAGTGGGTGTCGTACAGAGGGACAACAGAGGAACCAGAAATCAAGTTAGTATCGATGCTGAAGATGAAGAAGTACGTGGAGAAAGGCCATGAGATCTTCTTGTGCTCCATTGAGAACCTGAAAGCAAAAGGGGATACAGCTCAGACCATACCTGTCGTATGTGAATTCCTTGATGTCTTTCCCGAGGAAATTCCGGGTATGCCCCTTTCAAAGCAAGTGGAATTCTCAGTGGACCTCTTACCGGGCACGACTCCTATATCCAAAGCTCCCTACCGGTTAGCACCAAAGGAAATGCAAGAGTTGAAAACCCAGCTACAAGAGTTGTTAGACAAAGGGTACATCCGACCGAGCACGTCGCCGTGGGGAGCTCCGGTGTTGTTTGTAAAGAAGAAAGACGGTAGCATGAGGTTGTGCATCGACTACCGTGAGTTGAACCAAGTCACCATGAAGAACAAGTACCCCCTTCCACGAATTGACGATTTGTTTGATCAACTCTGAGGCGCTGGGGTGTTCTCCAAGATTGATTTAAGATCAGGTTACCATCAGTTGAAGGTGGAAGACCAGGACATACCTAAGACGGCGTTCCGAACGTGCTACGGCTACTACGAGTTCACGGTGATGCCGTTCGGGTTAACCAACGCGCCAGCAGTGTTCATGGATCTAATGAATCGTGTATTCAAGCCTCATCTCGACGACTTCGTGATCGTGTTCATAGACCACATCCTTGTGTATTCTCGGGATGAAGAAGAACATGTGGGTCATCTTCGGACAGTACTGCAGATTTTGAGGGAAAAACAGTTGTATGCCAAGCTTTCGAAATGTGAGTTTTGGAAAGATAGCGTAGCATTCTTGGGCCATGTAATAGACAGTAGAGGTATATCGGTGGATCCAGATAAGATTCGGGCGGTGAAAGAGTGGACCGTGCCGACAACCGTGGCGGAAGTAAGAAGCTTCTTTGGTTTAGCGGTTTATTATCGAAGGTTTGTGTTGGATTTCGCTAAGGTGGCTCAACCATTGACTAAGTTATTATGGAAGGAAGTGTCTTTCATTTGGGATCAAGCTTGTGAGTTAGCATTCTGGGAATTGAAAGAGAGGCTTACGACTACACCAGTTTTAATCTTACCATCAGGGACGGAAGGGTTTGAAGTGTAAAGCGATGCATCCAAGAAGGGATTAGGTTGTGTGTTGATGCAAAATGGGAGAGTAATTGCTTACGCCTCGCGCCAGCTTAAAGTTCACGAGGAGAATTATCCTACACATGATTTGGAATTGGCCGCCGTAGCTTTCGCTTTGAAGATTTGGAGGCATTATCTGTATGGCGTGCGTTGCAAGATCTTTACGGACCATAAGAGTCTCAAGTATATCTTCACCCAGAAGGATCTCAATATGCGTCAGAGACAGTGGTTGGAACTCATCAAAGACTATGAGTTGGATATACAATATCACGAAGGAAAGACAAATGTTGTAGCGGACGCTCTGAGCAGGAAGACCAAGCATGCCGTTAGTTCCATTTGGGTAGTGGCTGACGAGCTTTACAAGGAATTTCAAAGGTGGAACAAGGTGAAGTTGAGTCGGAAACCCGTCTTTTCAACCTAAAAGTCGTATATACGCTTTTGGAAGAGATCAAAGCGGAACAATGGAAGGATGCTAGCTTGATGAAGGCAAGAGATGACCTGGAAAAGGGACGAGGGGGACCGTTTGAGTTGTCCATGGACGGAGAGTTGAGGTACGCAGGCCGTCTGTGTGTACCTACATCTTGTGACCGGTTGAAACGTCAGATTTTGGAAGAAGGCCATAATACACCGTATTCTATACATCCTAGAAGCGACAAATTGTACAAGGACGTGAAAAAGCTTTTCTGGTGGCCTAACATGAAGAAGGAGGTGGCGGAGTTTGTGGGCAGATGCTTGACTTGTCAAAAGGTGAAAGCGGAGCATTGCAGGGTCAAAGGCTTAGTACAGCCATTGGAGGTTCCACAAGGAAAATGGAACTCCATATCTATGGACTTCGTGGGAGGTTTGCCGGCAACCCGTTCCGGTAAGGATAAAATCTGGGTAATAGTTGATCGCTTGACCAAGACCGCTAGCCTTATCGCGATGAAAGAAACATGGACAATGACGCAGTTGGCCCAAGCCTATGTTAGTCAGGTAGTGAAGTATCATGGAGTACCAAAAGATATAGTCTCCGATCGGGATCCAAGGTTCTTGTCACAGTTTTGGAAGTCCTTACAAGCAGCCCTGGGAACCAAGCTAAATCTCATTATCGCCTTCCATCCGGCCACAGACGGACAAACAGAGAGGACTATTCAGACTATCGAGGATATGTTGAGGGCATGCATGCTGGATTTTCAAGGATCATGGGAGGATCACCTGGACTTAATAGAGTTCTCCTATAACAACAGTTATCACTTGAGTATACGCATGGCTCCTTATGAAGATCTTTACGGTCAAAAGTGTCGCAGTCTGTTGTGTTGGGAGGATAAGGTTAATCCGGTAGTCTTGGGACCGCAGTTCTTGCTTAACACCGCAGAAAAGGTTAAACAGATTCAGAGTAGGATGAAAGCGTCACAAGATCGTCAAAAGTCTTACGCCGATCGAGCAAGAAGGCAAGTAGAGTTTGCGGTTGGGGATAAGGTCTGGTTAAGGGTATCTCCCACTCGGGGAGTGATGAGGTTTGGAAGGAAGGGCAAGCTAAGCCCTCATTTCATATGACCTTATGAGATACTCGAGAGGGTTGGGAACCTAGCCTATCAGTTGGCTATACCTATGGAGTTGGAGCTGGTCCATAATGTCTTCCATATATCCCAGCTTAAGAAGTATGTTCACGATCCGACGCATGTTCTACCACCGGAAGTGATCCCTTTGGATGATGATATGTCTTATGAAGAAAGGCCGCTCAAGATCTTGGATTTTAAGACCCGGGATATGCGTAGGAAATCGGTGAAGATGGTGAAGGTTTGGTAGTCACATCATGGAGTAGAAGAAACTACTTGGGAGTTGGAATCGACCATGAGGGAGCGTTACCCAGAGTTGTTCTCGGCAGGTACCTCGTCTTACAGTTTGTTAGTTGCTTGTTGCTTGCCTTGCGTGTTTGTTCTTGCTTGTTTGGTTAGTTGAGTAGCTAGCTTGGTTAGTTGGTGCTTTGAGATAGTTGTTAGATCGTAGTTGTTGGCTAGAAGTTGGTGGTTGTGTTTGGTTTAGAGTTTGTTATGCTCAATATATTCGTTGGTTAAATTCTTCGAATCCTTATTTTAGTATACCTTCTTTCTTGCTTGCTTTGATGTCTTGAGAATCCTTTGGGTTTGACCAAAATAGATTAATCTTGGCACTCTTGTCACATGGTTGTTTCATTTCACCGTTTGTTTTAATTCGTCGTACCCAAGCTTCGGGGACGAAGCTTCTTTGAAGGGGGAGAGGATGTGACACCCCGTAATCCAAAATCGATTAAGATATTAATTAGGTAATTAATCCTAATTCAATTGGTATCTAAATTCCTAGAAATCCTGAAAATTCAATAGTCGGGGACTAGTAATTGACTAGTCAACCCCAAAGTCAAGGTTGTACCTTAAACTTTGTGAGGAGTTCCCTTGTCCCCTTACACCTCTTCATTTTAGTAAGGGTATTAATGACTTTTCACCTTGAGTTATTATTGCAAGCTAACCTAGTAGGCACTCCTCATTTCTCTCCTTACACTTTCCAAACTTTAGCTCTACCTTCTCTCTAAAAAGGTAGATAGCTTTTCTTCCAAGCCAAGTTGAAGCTCTGTCAAATCTTCAAGAGTTGTCTCCAAGATTCTACCATTCATACATTTGGGCATCTAGGAGGGTAAGATCTATGTTCATCTTGTGTTTTTAGTGTTTTCTAAGGTGTCTTTTCTTCAAGATAGAATCTTTATGATCTTTTAGTGTGTTCTTGAAGTGGGTTTGGAAGGTGAGCCTTATTAGGAGCTTGGTGAAGTGTTAAGTGAAGGTTTTTGTCTACAAGAGGTAACCCATGCTCTACAAAATTATTTTGCTTACCTATATGATGATTTCTTGGATTCTACATGTATTTTGCTATGAAATGTGAGTGTTTATGCATTGTCTTGTGAAAATGCATATCTAGAGCATGTGTTTAGGATTCTTGTATGCCATTGCTTGGCTATTCCTTTGATTCAAGTCATCTTTTTGTATTTGGTGAGATTTGACATGTTTTAGACTTGAATTTGAGCTTGGTGTTGAAAATCCAGGAAGGGATTATTTTGGTACAGGTACGTACCCGCGGGTGGAACGGCGGGTAGGCGTCCACCCACCGCCCTACCCGTGGGGTACATGGCCGGTGGGTGTGGTACCCGCGGGTGGAACCACGGGTGGGGGTCTACCCGTGGGTCCACCCGCGGGGAACAATGTTGGCTGGTTGGGGGATTTGTTCCCCGTGATTCTCTTGACTCGGTATTTGGTCTTTTGACTTCCCGATGTTCTTTTGTGGAACTATTTGAGTGTCTTCTTGATGTTTTGTATGTCTAGAATCCATGTAGGTTTTGGTGTCTTGAATCGTACTAAGTGTTCAACATTGTGATTCGTTGAACCGTGATGAGTCTTGTGTGTTCTTCGGAACTATGTTTGGTTTACCCGTTTGATAAGCATGCTAGTTCAGTGTTTAAATACTAGCATGTGTGTTGTTTGTACTTTCCTATTGTTGATGATGACTTGTGTTATTCATCGTTGTTGTTGGACTGTGATCCATTCCTTGATTGAGTATGGTTTCATATCTTCGTTATGATCCATTCATTGATTCTTGTTGAGGTGTGGTGTGTGTGGCTTTACCTGGATTGCACGATTAGTGGTATGGGACACTAGTCACCAAGATATTGCAGTGGTCCTCGTGGTGCCCATGACGTGATTATGGAGTTTGTGACCTTGGTGTAAGGTTCACGTGTTTATTTCTGGGATAACATGTGTTATCCAGGTCATGTGTTGCCATGTGTGATCGGTACCGTCGTGTACTATGAAATCGGTGGTTCTGTTGGAGGGACTGTTGGAGGGGGAACGATGGTTCCCGGGGGAATAAGGTTGGACTTGGTGTACAGGGGTCCTGGAGGTAAAGGTTGGAACTAGATATAAGGTTGGGGGTAGCCATAAGGTTGGAACCGGGCATAAGGAAGGCTTATCAATTCGTGATGGGTGATGTCACGAAGGCTTGTGTAGCCGATGTTGTGAGTTCTCTTCTTGTGACGTGTGTAGTCACAAAGGTATGTGTTTCCTAGGCATGTGTTGCCATTGGTCGTGTCCTTATTCCTTTGAGTTGTGCATGTCGGGTGTTAATCTATTGTGTGATGATAAATTATACCATGAGCCGTCCTTGTGAGTTGTTGATTGCTCTTCCAAGTCTTGGGATGTGTTCCCTTATCTTGTTGTGAGTGCTTTGAGTCTTGTGTTGACCTTTGCTCTTGGTTTTGAACTTATATATATGCATTCCGTCTCGCAAATGACTTTACAAACGTATATCTTATCTATGTATGATATTTCACATGTATTGGTGGGTTACCAGCATTATTCGTTGACCGGGCGTTGTCCCATCTTTTATGTGTTTCTTTCAGGTGATGTTTAGACGAGAGCGCGGTTTAGTGCCAGCTAGTGTAGCTCATTTCTTGTGTTTTGTGGCCTGTGAGCCAAGTATAGACTTATTACTTTGAACATGTACGGTTTTAGATGTTGAACTATGCAGATGTTAGCCTGTGCGTTCACCTCTGGGTGAGCGTGGCGTAGCACCCCTTTTACTTCCAGTTTATATAAACCTCTTTCAGTCTTCCGCTGTGTTTGATGTTCTGTTTAGATATCTGCATGTTTAAGGCTTAAAATAACATGGAAATTAGGGGGTGTTAAAAATTGTCTTAGAAGAACCATTTGACCAACCCAGACTTGTGAAGAAGATCTTACGCTCGCTACCTCCAAGGTTCAGAATGAAAGTCACGACCATTCAAGAGCATGATGGCTGGGAAAATAGGTCTGTGCATCAGCTTATGGGCAGCCTACAAACATACGAGATGGAAATATTGTCAATTCATTCCACCAAAGAAAAGGTTGTGGCGTTTACGGCTGAAGACATGAATGTTGGGTCTGACCCAGACGAGGTAAGTGACGATCCTGTAGTCTTTTTGTCTAAAGGTTTTTCCAAGTTGTTGAAACAGGTCAAGCAAAGACAGAACACCAGAAGCGGAAAGTTTCAACCACAAAAAGCATCGGGCTCAAGTGTTCCTCGAAACAATAAAAAATCTGGATCGACGAATTTCCGTCAAGGCTCGTACAAAACTTCTCAACCCAAGGACAAGTCGAGAGGCAAAGACATCAGGTGCTATGAGTGTGAGGGTTTCGACCATGTTCAAGTAGAATGTCCAACATACCTAAGATGAAAAAAATCAATTGTAGCTACTACACTAACGTGGAGTGATGACGAGGAACCTGAGATAGGAACCAGGTCTAACTCAGAAGAAATCTTAGGGAACTTTGTGGCCTTCACGGCGATTGCATCAATAGAGAACGTGGATGAACCTAAAGCTGACGTCGAATTTGCGGTTGGGGAATACTCGTCTGCCGAAGAGGACGATCTGCCCACACCAACTCCAGAAGAAGAGTACAGAAAATTGCACGCGAGATGGGGAACTCTCTCTAAAATTAATAGAACCCTGTCGTGCCAAGTCAGTGTTTTGGAAAATGCTAAGAAAATATATGAAAAACAGATCGCTGATAAAGATGAGCGCATTAATGACGGGCTCAAACGTGAAGAAGGTCATAAACGAGAGCTGGATATGCTAAAACGTCGTATAAAGATGATGGACACCACTCCTACACTAGATCAAATACTGGATTCAAGTAGGACAATCTCTACTACGTACGTCTTAGGCTTCTCAGGGAACAAAGGCAAAAACGGGACTGTGTTTGTGAAAGCTACTAGTTCTGACTCTGCCTCAGGATCTGGCCCAGAGGTGCCTGAATCCGGCAAGTCGAAGACAATGTTCGGAAATGTGAAACGTTCTCCACTTAAATAGAAACTCTATAAACCTGTTTGCCATTATTGCAGAGTCAGATGACACACAAGACCGGAGTGTTTTTACTTCTACAAAGATCAGCGAAGTGACAAATTCACGAATAGAAATATCATGCCCTTTGTTAAGCAAGTTTGGGTACGAAAACATGACTTTGTGTGCCATGTTTCGTTTCACTCTACTAGCTCTAACCGAGAAGAAATGTGGTACTTCGACAGTGGTTGCTCGTGACACATGACAGGAAATCCGTCTTATCTAACCAACATCAAAGAGAGCAAAGGTGAAGTTACGTTTGGTGACGGGGTCAAAGGACAAATTAGTGGGCACTGGTTAACATTTCAGGTCTGCCCAAGCTTAGTCAAGTTCTTCTAGTCTCTGGTCTTCATGCGAATCTCATTAGCATAAGCCAGCTGTGCGATCAAGAGTGGAATGTGTGCTTTACAAATAGGACCGTTGCAATGTCATTGATGTGAACAAGCAGTGTGTAATGGAAGATAAGAGGTCCTCCGATAACTGTTACATTCTTAATAATGATGTGCTCTGTTGCAGGTCCAGTACTAGAGACATGGAAATATGACATCAAAAACTAGGTCATTTGAACTACAGGTCACTCGACAAATTAGTGAAAATTGACGGAGTTCGTGGATTACCCAACATGAAGGTTGAGGCAACAAGTGTCTGCGGTGCATGCCAAGCCAGAAAACAAACAAGAGCTCCTCATTCTCCCCATAACAAAATCCAAACAACACACTGTCTGGAACTACTTCACATGGACCTTATAGGACCAACACGCACTGAAAGTATTAGAGGTAAAAGGTATATTTTAGTATGTGTAGATGACTTCTTACGCTTTTCTTGGGTTGTCTTCCTCAGAGAAAATTCCAAGACCTATGAAGCATTTAAGGCTCTAGAGCTTAGGCTACAACGGGAGTAAAATGAACCAATTATCCGAATCAGAAGTGATCATGGACGAGAGTTCAAAAATCATATGTTCGACGACCTGTGTGCAAGCCTGGGAATAACTCTTGAATACTCAGCTCCCAAAACACCGCAACAGAACGGAGTTGTAGAAAGGAAAAATCGGACCATCCAGGAAATGGCCAGGGTACTTCTTAACGCCAAAAGACTACTTCAAAAGTCCTGGGCAGAAGCAGTAAACACTGCAGGCTACACCATAAACCGAATCTACCTTCGACCAGGAACTCACCAGACAGCTTATGACATTTGGAAAGGTAAGAAACCAAATATTCAGCACTTTCATATCTTCGGTTCACGGTGCTTTATTTTGAAGGATCGTCATCCAACGGCAAAGTTTGAGCAAAAAAGTGACGAAGGGGTTTTTCTTGGTTATTCTCCGAATAGTCGTGCTACCGAGTGTATAAAAAACCTTGAAAACCATCATGGAATCCATAAACGTTGTAGTTGACAATCAAGCTGAAACTATCTATGATCTCCCTACATCTGGTACTGCGCCAGAACCTGAGACAGAAGTTCAGCAGCCTTCTAACAATGATCCTGTTCCTCAGTCAGAACCAACCTCTTCTCCAGCCCTTTCACCATCTAACCCAGAGTCTGAACCAAATCAAGAAACAGATGACCTAGACGCACCTACTCGAATCCAAAAGTATCATCCGACCAGGGGCAGAAAGCGTAATTATCTTGAGCTAGCAGGATACTCATGCTATATGTCCAAGATAGAGCCAAAAATGTGAAAGAGGCCCTAACAGACAAGCACTGGATTAAGGCGATGCAAGAAAAGTTAGAAAAATTCGAAAGGAACAAGGTATGGAACTTAATCCCTAAACCTAACGGTGTTAATGTTGTAGGAACCAAGTGGATCTTTCGTAACAAAACAGATTCAGCTGGTAACATCGCACGAAACAAAGCCAGGCTTGTCGCACAAGGCTACACATAAATTGAAGGGATTGACTATGAAGAAATTTTTGCTCCAGTAGCACGTCTTGAATCCATCCGTCTACTCCTGACTTTGTATCACCCTGACTTTGTATACAAGCTTGATAAAGCCCTGTATGGTCTAAAACAAGCTCCAAGAGCCTGGTATGAAAGGCTATCTCAATATCTAGTACAACATGGCTACAACCGATGGGGAGCAGACAAAACCTTGTTTATCAAAAGATCAGGTAAGCATGTAACCATTGCTCAAGTATATGTTGACGATATCATTTTTGGTTCCACTCAGGCAGGTGCCACTGATCAGCTCATCAAAGTCATGCAATAAGAATTCGAGATGAGTATGATTGGAGAACTGGCCTACATTCTAGGATTGCAAGTACATCAGACAGCTGAGGGAATTTTTGTATCTCAAGAAAAATATGCCAAAACCTAGTTAAACGATTTGGGTTAGAGTCATCAAAAGACGCAAAAACACCCATTTCAACAACTACAAAGTTATCAAAAGATGAGTCAGGCACAAACATTGACCCAACTCTCTACAGGAGTATGATAGGAAGTCTATTATATCTAATAGCAAGCCGCCCAGATATTATGTTAAGTGTTGGATTATGTGCTAGATTTCAAGCGACACCAAAAGAATCGCATCTTAAGGCAGTAAAACATATCATCAAATATGTCAAAGGTACGACTAACTATGGTATTTGTTTTTCAAATGACACAAATCTCAGTCTTGCAGGTTACAGTGATGCTGATTTGGCGAGAAATACAGATGATCGGAAAAGTACATCCGAAGGATGCTTCTTTATTGGAAATAACCTAGTTGCCTGGTTAAGTAAAAAGCAAAACTCAATATCATTGAGTACAGTTGAAGCCGAGTATATTGCCACAGGGAGTTGTTGCACTCAGTTACTCTGGATGCGTCAAATGCTGAGTGATTATGGAATAAGTCAAGAGCACATGACTCTATACTGTGACAACACAAGTGCAATCAACATCTCAAAAAATCCAGTTCAACACTCGCGTACAAAACATATTGATATTCGTCATCATTTCATCCGGGAACTAGTGGAGGATAAAGAAATTGACTTAAGCTATATCTCTACAGACAAGAATCTGGCAGATCTCTTCATGAAACCTTTGGACAAAACCAGATTTGAAACTCTTCGTGCAGCTCTAGGAGTCTGCAAAGTAACAAGTGAATAAGGTCCTATTTACCAAAATAAAGGAAAGTAAGTGGCCTCCTCTATGTGGTTTGCTTCTAATTTTGTTCCTAGTTCATTATTTTATTTATTTATTTATTTATTTGTGTTTTCAGGTCTACCTCAGCAATAGATGCGGACCCAGGGTCACTCCCACGGATATTTTTTTTATTGGCCCGTGTCGTAAATAATAAGGTTTCCGTCCCTCGTCAACCTTCTTTTTCTCATCTTATCTTCCGTAATCCCTAAGAATAGGTCAAACTTGTTACACCTTCTCATAACAAAAGCCTTTGCCTCGAGATTCACATACCCTAAAATCTCGATTCCTTCATCTTCCTCATCATGCTTTCCATCGGAGAAATCTCTCTCCCACCATGGCAGAAAATACCAATTCCATCAATCCCTTTCTCGTCTATCTCTCTGATGATGAGAAAATAGAGCTCTATCGACGGATTCTGATCGTAACTTCACCCCTGTTACCATAAGTCGAGGAAAGAGTACTAGCTACATTAGTACACAATCATGACCTAATGGAGAATCTCACCTTGAAGGAGTCGAAGCGGATACTCACCATGGCTACTCACATTATAGTTGATCCTTGGCCAGTAGATTCCGAAATCTCGGTGCGTGTTAATTTGGAGAAGGAGTTCCTGATTGATGAAGATCAATTCGCCGCTGAAATAGAGGCAAAAAGTCAAAAGCTTTGGTAAATTTTTCTGCCCCTCTGGATGGCAATAGCTCGTTGCCCGAGCCTAGGGTTCCTAAGTTGTTTATGAATGTTCGTGATATATCTATCTTCTCAAATGTGAAATCATCTTTACTATGTGTGGATACTAACCCCTTGTCAACAGTTGTGTACACTGGTCCTCTTCCGAGGTTTAAGAACCCTATGCGCGACTCTAGCATTGTTTCTCAATCAAGGCCTCCACCTGCTTCCTCTGGTTTCTCAATTAGAGATCTCATTCCGCACTCTGGTGAACCACTCTCTCCTTCTCAAAGGTCTGTCTTGGTGGATCTTGTCTCCAACTTACCAAAACCCCCATCCTCCACTCAATCTGTTCCCATTGTGTCTGTCCCTTTCCAAAAAGATCCTCCTAAGTCACGAAAAGGTAAAGCCAAAATTGGGTCTGTTTCCACACTAGTGTTCTCCAAAAGAAAAGCTTCTGAATTTGAGGATGATGACTTAGTTATCTTGTCTGAAGTTAGGAAACATCGGTCTACACCCTCTGGCTCTGTTCGTTTGACTCGGTCTAAAATAGGTTCTCCAACCCCGGTCATTCCTCCAGTCCCTGTGTCTAAACCAGTTTCTAAGTCTGCCACGAAATCGACCAAAAAGCCATCCCAGAAATCTAAATCAACCCCAGCTTCCAAAGCCTCTTCTTCCAAACAGCCTAAACCTAAGGTATTCCAACCTACGTTGCATCTGCCTGAACTTCAAGACTTGTGGGAGCTCAATCTATCTCGATCTCTTCTTGTTGAGAAGGTGATTGATGTGGACAATATGCTATCGCTTTGCAACATTATCACTCTTCTTCGTGATCAGACTCTTCTCGACACTGTTCGTGGCAAAGACACTTACTCTATGTGGCTTACCCCAAAATTCTACACAAACCTCTCCTCTGATTCTGCTCTAGCCTCTTCACCTCACTATCATCAGGTGTATGCTCGTGGAAGATGGTTTGATTTCAGTCCTGTAGTGATTAACAGGTACTTCAACCAGACTGCCTTCGAAGAGGATTTTGAACCTGGGTTGGATGTTTTGGCTTCGAGTCTCACTCATGCTGCGGTTACTACCTGGCCTTCCGCTGATCTGCTCTCTACTTTGCTCACCACGATATACTCTGTCCTATTTAGACTTGTCTGTAGCAATTGGCTTCCATTTGTTGCTCTGCATTGTGTTAGCAAGAAGATGGTTGTGCTTCTCTATAAGATTCGGCACAAGATTAACTTTGATCTTGGTTCTCTGATTTACAATCATATCATGGGTTTTACAAAGGGTAAAGAGCCAAAGGTCCATCTGCCGTTTTCATGTTTGATCTATGGCATCCTGAAGGAGAAAGGTATTCAACTCTATGAGAATGAACATGAGTATGCTATTTAGAAGAAATATACTATGGACTATCGACTGCACCAGCATTCTCATTTTGATGATCGTGATTTGTTGATAGCAGAAATCTTTCAGGCCCCAGCTCCTACCTCAACAGCTTCTGGGTCATACTTTGCTAAACCTAACCCTGTGTCTACTTCTTCACCAGCGGTTCCTCTAGAGCTTTCAGATCTTCGCCAACAGGCATTTGATTACATGGCTGTCTCCACTCCCTTGAAACCGAACATTACCTCCCTCCAGGCAGTGGTTGTGGATACTGAAGATAAGCTTGCATCGACTCTACGCCAGATCTCTGTTCTTGAAAACTCCATTTCTGCTCGTTCTGCAGCTCATGAAGATCCAGCAGATCCTGAAGACTCTGGCTCTCCATAAGGATGCTCGAGTCACTAGATGATCATCGTTGCCTTTGCAGATTAGTAGAAGAAAAAGGGGAGTACAAGTGAGGGGGAGTTCAGTTTTTTTTTTTTTTTTTTTGTTTTTTGGCTCAAGTGCCAAATAGCACCATGAACCAACAACGAAATGTCATCCTGCACCCTAATCTTATATAAGTGATTATTCAATTCACAAACCAAAAAAAAAAAATTATTCACCTAGCATTTTTTACAGGTTACCGTGAAGTTAAAAGTTATAAGTTGGTGATGTGGCGGTCACTTGGCTGGGACGTGTGATATTTTGTAGATGTGGCAGAGACATGTATAGATGTGGCATCCATTCATCTCTTTAATGTAATAATTTAGGCAAAATCAACCACAAATCCATAATCGCAATCCCTTTGAATGTCCGAAGAATCTCATTCTCAAATCCCAAATCGCGACTTGAACAATCTGATTCGCAAATCCTTAATCGCAAACCCAAATCCGTAATCGCCTAGCTTAAGCCCTAATATGTATTTGTAATTCGAAACCCTAAATCCCAAAACCGAGAAGACTGGAACCAAGAAGAGTGGAAAGAAGATTGGAAATAAGTGCCAAACCTCAAACCGAGTCAGGTATGTAGAACACTCTTTGAATATTGTTATGAATATATGCTTTTAATATGTAATATTGTATTGATTGTGATGTAGTGGGGTCCTATATGCTTTGAATATATGTTTGTATATATTGTGGTCCTATATGCTTTGAATATGATGCTGGGTGGACCTACTGTTTTAGCTTTTCGTTTAATTTTGTATTGATTGTGATGCAGTGGGGTCCTGCTATAGTATGTTTAAGTTGTTTTTGTCTGTATATACTGTTATACTGATGTAGTGGGATCCTACGATGTTGCTTTTACGTGCTGCTCTAGTTTGTTTATTGTTGCTTTTATGTTGCTTTTAGTGTAAAGTGTAAATGGATAAACTGTAAAGTGTATACTGTATTGCTGCTCTAGTTTGTTTAGTGTAAAGTGTATACTGTATTGCTGCTCTAGTTTGTATAGTGTAAAGTGTTTAAAGTGTAGAGGTAGAGGTAGAGGTAGAGGAAGGCTTGCTGGAAGTGGTGGAAGAGCTGTTAGAAGTGGTGGAAGAGATGCTGCTAATGTTGATAGTGGTTTGTTATCTCAAGAAAGCAACATTGGAATGTCAGGTAATGATACAAAAAGTTTATTTATATTTGTTCTAGAACTGTTAGATTATGATACTAATATTTTGTTTTTATTTATGCTTGTAGAGTGCACACAAAATTGAAGACATCAAGTGGCTGTTTTGGCAAGATAAAGTGAATGCTTAATGACTATTTTGAAGACATCAAGTGACTATTTTTGCAAGATAAATCCAATGCTTAATGACTGTTTTGAAGAAATCAATAGACTGTTTTGGCTTATGTATTCTATGTAAATCTGACTTATTGGCTTATGTAATTACCAATGTAGTATGACTTATTGGCTTATAGCCTTGTGTACTCTTAATGTTTTTTTGCAGTCATCTGGTCTATCTTATAAACCTGGTTCTGTAGCTGGTTTCTTTTTCTTAATGAATTTGCAGCCACTTGGTTTCTTTTTCTTAATTCTTGTATTCTTGTTTTGTGTATCCAAACTTCCAGATGATTGAACATGAATGAACTTCTAGATGATTGAACATGAATGAACTACTTCTCTGTGATTCTAGTTGGCATTTAATTTGTTACTAGATTAAGGATATACATAACAGCTACTTAACTCATCAAACAAATTGAAAGCTAGGATATGGAGATTATACCACGCATATCCTAATAAACAATAGTTGTTTGACTCATCAAACTGGAATCTGCTGCTTGACTCATCAAACTGGAATCTGTTGCTTGACTCATCAAACTGGATATGGACATTATACCATGCAAACAACAGCTGCTTGAACCATCAAACTGGAAGCTAATTACAATTATTACATTACAAAACTATAAACTGGAATTCAATGCAAGCTTAAAACTGGAAATTCAAATTGCAAACTGGAAACTTAAATTGCAAAATACCAATTTTTCATTACAATGCCAAACCATTACAATTTCTAACTACAAATTTTTGCTAGAAGCACCACAATTACAATTAGGAGAACAACACACTTGATCCTCAACACATCGTTTTCTTTTTTCATACCATAATACTCATTTACAATTAATTCTTTTACAATTTCGATTTCACTCCTCAAAGGCACCACCATCTTCTTTAGGTCTTCATGCTCACCTTCACTCCTCCTTGCACTGTGATCCTTCCAAAGGAAGAAGCCACAACCATTGCCATCCTATACAACTCAATTAAAAAAATTACCCATAAAAAAGTAAAAAATTACCAAAATCAAAAACCAAATAACTTACCCAAAAAATGACGAACCCTAGCTTTAATAAACTCAAAATTCATACAAGATTTCAATAAATACGAACCTTCCATCTTTGACACCCAAAGAATTGCTTTCCCGAATCTCTACTTGTGTAAATTGGAGCTTTCAACCCACAATTACAAAAAACACTAGGCTCGTACTCCATGTTTACTCTAACCCGTGATGAAGTTGAAGAAGATGACATAATGGAGAGCTCTGGCTTAGACAGAGGAAGAGGAAACTGTTATCGTCGGAAAACCTAGGGATGTGGCAATCGTCTACAAGGGCCGCGATAGGGAGAAGATGAATACATTATAAATAACCCAAATTTGAAAGAAATGTTTTAATCAGCTGCCACATCAATTTTAACCGGAGCCATGTCATCTAGGCAACAGGGTAACCTGTAAAAAATGCTAGGCGAATAATTTTTTTTGGTTTGTGAATCGAATAATCACTTATATAAGATTAGGGTGCGGGATGACATTTCGTTGTTGGTTCATGGTGCTATTTGGCACTTGAGCCTTTATTATTATTTTTTTTTGTATTGGTTGTTGGCTTGGTTGGATGGTCTGACTGCACACAAACTGGTCTTTTGTAATAATGTGTGGTTATTTGCTTAGTTGTTTTTGCTCAATATGCTCCATTGCTTAAATGTGATAAAGTGCCCTTATTTGTTTTGGTATGTCAATTTGTGTGATTCTTTCTATGCACAACATGAATTACGTGTGTTTGATATGTCAATTTGCTTTTACGTGTTTCTACTTGTTTTAATCCAGTTCGTGTGACAGTCTGGTATGAGGAGGGTTATGATGTGGTTTTTTTTCGGGAGGCATATCTGCATATGATCCAGGCATATGTAATTTGTTAACAAATATACTCTGGTTGTTTAATAATCTTAATATCAAGCCTAAGAGTATATCTTGTGTAAGTATGTATTTTGTCAACTAACTGCTAAAGGGGGAGTTTGTAAGTGCACACAAAAATGTGACACATTGGACCCTATAGGTATTGGCTAAATTAGTTGTCAAAATAATCCACTATGCCGTATTTTGGATCAGAAACAGTTGCACTGACAGTCTTCAGAATTGCTCTTTCAAATGTTGTTTTCTACCAAGACCCTACATCTATGCGGATCTAGATCATAAGGTGCTGACGCTTTTCAGGACCAAGCAGCAGCTCTTTTAGTCTTGGAAGTCTCTCTTCTCACCTCTATCAAAGGCTACTTTGTCTAGTGAGAAGATGTCGATTTTATGAAGTACAAGATACACAATCTTAATACCTCTTATCCAATATACCGTCCATCCTGTTACTGTCATTGAAGACACCTAGTCATAGTATGAAATCTGGCTTGCACGATCAGTCCTCATAGATGATAGTTGGGTCGATAGAGTAGTGTAGTGAGTACCTTGTGTGTATTGAACTCTCTCTTGTACTCTTTTGATTGGGCTGACGTGAGTAGCCCCGCAGACGTAGGAGTGAGGCTCCGAACTGCGTGAACACATCATGGTGTTTGGTTCCATTTATTATTCATTTTATTGTTTGTTTTATCTTCTGCCTTAGAATCTGTTCCTAACCCAGATTAAACTACGAATACTAAAATTTAGTAGGAACCTTAGTATTAAATCTTGCATTCAAGATCCACACGCTTTTTCAATTGGTATTAGAGCAAGGAGACTTAAGTTATTAGTCTACTCAATCTGGCTTCGGTGTGGTTCTAAATTGAACTCGAGATCTTTTTATCGGGCTTTATTTTTATGGTTTACTTGTTTGTACTTATTGTGCATTATGTCTTGCAGAATGGACCGACAAAGAGCACCTCCTGAGCTTACAGGTGACAACTATGCGTATTGGAAGGCTCGCACAAAAATGCACATTCGCGCACAAGGGGAGAGGATCTGGAGGGCAGTCCTTACTGGGTGGACTCCACCTACTAAAGCTGCAGCCACTGCGGATGTTCTCCCAGTCCTCAGACCAGAAACAGAATGGTCAGATGAGGAGATGACTCTCGCAGGATATAACAATAAAGCCTTAAATACTATTTATTCTTTAATGCATGAGAGTCAGTTTACTATCATTTCTGGGTGTAACTCAGCCAAAGATGCTTGGGAAACTTTGGAAACCACATATGAAGGGACAAATCCGTCAAGCAAAGCAAACTTCAAATGGTCCAAATTGACTTCGAGGAGTTAAAACTGAAAGAAGATGAAATGATTGTTGAGTTTCA